ATTTGTGGCTGCATTGAGTTCACAAGCCACCCAATGACAGTGTAATTTTCTTGCATCCATTTCTCGTAGGATGGATCATCTTCTGGGGGAGCCTTCTTACTCCCAGAAATGAACCTCCACTTTCCTCTACTACATACATGAATCTTTACTAATTGTGACCATGCCAGATAATTAGTTCCATCTAGTTTAACTGTGGTCACAGTCAATAAGGAGTCACTTGGAGTCCCCTGAACCAGTCCATATTCAGCACCACTTTTGTTTTCAAACWCTGAGGAGTACATCATGTAAACACTCCAAATATGATTTCAGATGACTTCTACAAGTATACTGAATRAGGACRAGCAAGAAYWGARTTCAGCCGACCACAAGAAGGCAATACACTGAGTTCAGCCTTCAAGAAGTAAAATAGAAACTTCTAGACTCAGCCGAAGTACCTTTTTCAAATCTGGACTTTAAAGTAAATACCACTTGGCACTCAGCCGAAGTACCCTTTTTACAAACAATAGTGTGGGCAATAGAGACAACCCCACTATCAAGAGGAGAAAAAAAGGCATCAAGAACTGTTCGTACAGCCCCCCAAAAACAGCCAGATATAAGCAACAATCCACAACCTTGTTACAGGGATGTTTCGGCTGTTTGACAGTCCAATAAGGAGTGAAAAACAACCCAGAAATTTCTAGGTTAAACCAGATTCAATGGCAGCCGAAGGTAGTACAGGACAACCAAAGCTTTCGGACAATTCAACAGTCCAAACACAGTCGAAAGCAATACAGAACRACCGAAAGAAAACTGAACCCAGAAATCTGAGTACAACTTACAGTTTCGAACCAGAAGAAAACTGAACCCAGAAATCTGAGTACAACTTACAGTTTCGAACCAGAAATCTGAGTACAACTTACAGTTTCGAACCAGAAGAAAACTGAACCCAGAAATCTGAGTACAACTTACAGTTTTGAGCTTAAACAGAACTAAACTGTTCCTCTTCCCCTTTTCTTTTCTCTGATTCTTCTTGGCCACCAAACCACTTCTCCAAGAGATTCAAGTCTTGGGCACTTCCAATGACCTCCAAGAATCAGGCAACACGAGTCAAGCTTCTAGCCCTAGGATACTGAAGTTTAGATATGCTCTGATACCATGAAGAAAACTGAAGAGAAGAAAGTTGAGGGTTCAGCAATGAGGGTCTGAGAAGAGGATTTCGAACTCACACTCTCTCAGCCCCCTAACACTGTTTTATTAGAAATATTTGAATAATTACAAAGAGGCCCTTAGTTGGGCAAGAATTTACACAGAACTTAATATTGACAGGATGGACCCAGAATAAGGCCCATTACARAAAAGAAACATAAATAACAAGAAGGAATAAGCAACCTATGGGCCATTCGGCCCATCTTCTCTACACTTCTCAAGAACTAGACTCTCCATCTGAGCTCTTATTACTTTGTTGTTGCTTACTATCATTTACCTTCTTCTTGAGCTTGTTCTTGATCTCTTCTTCTTTCTTATCAATAAACTCAATTAGGTTCTTGAAGCTAGTTGAGCGGGTTGCTTGCTGAGACACTGAATTGGAGTCTTCTTCATCCTCCTCCACCTCTGAGTCATACCTGCGGTACTGACGAAGTACCTTAATGGAAAACACAAGAAGTGCAATGAAGCATGCAATACCACACATGACAAAGAGGCCCCAAAAACTACTGAGAGACAACCGGTTGGAATCTACATCTTCAACTTCCATGGAGCAGTCATTTGTTGACAACCATTTATTATTGATCCTCTGGAGATCACCATTCTCTGAGAGCTGAAGGATGGCGGTTGACAAATCAACAGAGAGAGGGGAGTCCCTCTGGAATGCCTGCCAAGATGGAGGAAATCTAGGTTTAGGTCCATATAAAAATTTACAACTTTGAATTTTTCAACAAGAGAATTTCAAGGAATATTCTTGCAACAAATTAGAAAAAAAAGAAAAACATGATATGTTCCAAACTAGCCAAGTTCTCATAATAAACTGAAACATTAATAACCTTATGGGTATTTCAAAAGAGTTTCAGGTATATTGGAATGAATGATAGAAGAGAATTCCATTTTAAAGCATTATCAGAATTTGCATGGAGGGAATTATTCATTCTATGTATGAGAACGAAAGTTGAAGTAGAGACTTCCAAGTGTGATGAAAAGTGTCAGTAATACTACTTGAAGTTGACATTCCTAGGTGTAAAACAAGGATGGGTAATAATTGTTTGAAATTATACCACTGTAAAAGAGTCCAATATTTATGGAAATTTGGGAATACCAGCAAAGAATCAGTAACACATAGCCTCACTAAATTTCCAAGAATTGGTGAATTGTATAGCCACCAGTTTATCCTTCAACCATCTACACTGAAATCCAAGACCTCAGCTAATTAAACAATTCAACATGGGCATTATAATACAAAACTATTTGCTTGTCCAAGGTAAGAGCAGAGAAGGTAGAGGTTGATACTTACAAATCCCCATCCACTTTTTGTGAACTCCTGTCCCACAATCCTGAATCTGCAATTGGTATTGGACAAGAAAATCTGAACATAAGGTAGTTCATCAACAATTGCAGCAACCCCACCACCTTTTGGTCCACGCAGGAGGGCATCAACATATTCCTTCGGGTCTCTTAGGTTCTTGAGCCTGGACTCTGGAATGTTGAGTTCCTCAATCATATATTTTCTTGCAAAGGACCCGTCCTGATACCCAATAGGTTCATTACTTGATATCAAGCTGTCAATCCCTTCGATCTGTGATGTCAACTGTTCCACCGTCAGGATTGATGTCAAACTAGCTGTATAACTCGAAGAGATAATTAGCACTACAAATAGCCATATGATCAACACCAAACGTCCAAGAGTGCTCACAGTGTTTTCTCCTGCATTGGATCCAAGCAGATGTAGGGTGTAAGGAACTCAAAGTTTGAACTACTTCAATAGAAGTCACCTAATATAAAGAATTTATGCTGGTAAACCATAAGTGAAGAATAGAATAATGGATAGATTTACTCACTGTGAGCAAAAAACATCGTTGAGAAACTAAACCTGAAATATGAAAAATAAAATGTGAGGGGATTAAAATGCCTCGCATCCAAAATCAAAGTAGAGGAAACTTAGTTTTCAGCACAAATTGGAGAACCACCAAAAAATCCAGACAAGCACAAAGTACTTAAGTTAATATAACTGATCGATATTTCTGTTTCTTTTGTTTTTGGTAATCAACAATATTTCTGTTCCAAGGGCAAGAAAACTGAACCAAACTAAACTGAAGATCTCAGCAAAAAAAATGTTAGGTGGTTTTATAGAAATCATGCAAATGATTATACAATGCTGATTAAATGATCAAGCATTGGAAGATTTAATGCATGAAATAGGATGAAAAGCATGGAATCATGGTAGTATACAGAGTATGGTGAGTTAGGAAGCAGAGGATCATAAATGAGTGCACAGAAAGTTGCAAGGTGCATTAAGTAGGACACTGGTGAGTTGTATGTAGGTAGATAAGTGATACATTTTCTTTAAGAAATCATGAACTCGGGTTGATTCTTAACCTTCAAGGGATGAACATAGTTAACATGCATGGGAGGACACAAAGGGTCTAGATTCATCCATTTCAGTCTACAAATACCCTATCCTTCGGCATGGAGGGAAAAGTTGATAAGTTTGTTTCAGGTATTTTTGTCAAAATTGAGAGTTGAATGACTCCTCCCTTGGTGGTCTGAGTGGTTCCTACATTGTGATTGAGCAATTCCTGGCTTGGGTTGAGTATTCCTCCCTCCTATCGTATGATATTGCCTTCTATTGTTTTGGCTATGGCCTGTTATTTTGTGTATTTAGCAAAATTGTCCTGAATTTCTCTATTTATTGTTTGTGCTAAGTTATGTTTCATCGTTGCCCCCATGAGTGGCTCAAATTCCCTTGAACAGGGTACTGGAGCCAATTGGCATTCCAAGTTTACAAACAAAATGATTGCATGATTTATTGATTCAACACAGCAATAAGGACTCTAAGATGGGAGTGCTAGAGAAAGAAAGGTGTTTCATGGAGAGTTTTGGGATACTAACCAAAACACAGTTATAAACTGTTGTCTTGGTGGGCCACGGAATTCAGAATTCGATCTGTGCTCAAGAATCCAAACAACAATGCCCACAAAGAGAAAGAAAGCACCTGTTGTACACCACATTTCTACTGTAAAAGGCTTTAGAAAAGCCCAAGCAGTAGACTTTGTTTGTCGGACAGGAGCAACTATGACAAGGCCTGATTCAATGAAAGGCTGTGTGAAATCCACAATCCTTGTCCTATTTGTAACAATAGTTATGTCTCCAACAGCTGCATCAAAATCCTGAAGAAGAAAAGAGGATACGAATTAAATAATTTTCCTACAGCAATTTAACATCCGAAAATTAGTGGACAATAAAGAGGAGTTATGAACAGTTCAAGCCAAAAATAAACTAGTCAACCAAATGAGAGGCCATTCAATGGGGTCCCACTAGGAGATCTATGCCAAGAACCGATTTAATTAGATATCATAACCATCAGACTATTTGCTTTTCCTCAGATGGTCAGCACAAATATCCTGAGCTTTCATATCAATAAAAGAGAAGTTGTGATCATCCAATCATCTCAGTTTTACAGCACAGAAACCCCCCAATGGGACACATTGAAATCTTTGTCCTGAACCTGCACATGTACCTTTTTCAATAACAAGTAAGAATTCAGGGACTATATTGAATTTATAATGATTAACTTAAAATACTTACATTTTGGTAAACCATTTCAACAAGTTCATTGTAATCAGGATTTCTTGAACCATTCCCATATAATATGTATGTATGTGGAACAGAATACTGCAACAGGGACACTGCAGCTTCAAAGACATCTATGCAGAACCCTTTCACCCCAAGGGCACCCTTATCCTTTGATACAAATTCCTTATAACTTACTCGATAAGGAACCCCAATTCTTAGAGGCTTCCCATTATCGGGGAACACCCACCCACGTGGCCTTTTTGTGGTTCCACCAGGCCATACTATGTCATTAAGCTGTTGGCTACTGCTAGATGTGTTAGGAGGCTTTGTATACAAGACCTCTGGAACTACAACTGAAAGACCTGAATAATTCGACCAATATCCTATACTGATGTGAGACCCAGTTCCACCAATATTAATGATATCATAAGCTGGATGGATCAAATTTCTGTCTGAATCATATTGAATCTGACCAGTTAGACCCGTAAAGTTTATTGTCATCAATTTCTGAAGCAGCACCTGCCCTCCATCAAAGGATCGAAGCATTGTTAAATGCATTGTGCTTCCATTTGCATCATGCAACCTGGGATCACTAGAGAATGAAATATTTCCTCCTTCATTCAGGAACTCATCAAGAGCATGAGCAATTAACCAAACAGAATCATAGGCATAGAGAGCATAAGAATTCAGGCTTAAGCTAGCATTCCCTTTATGCTGTAAGCTGCTCCACCGAGAAAGGAAACTCCTTTTGAGGTCAGAATCTGGGGTGTGATGGCGCAGTGCAACCACCCCTGAGAGATTTATCTTCTCAAGGTTCATCGGTTCTGATGAATCTAGAACAGAAGAGAGCCAATCTGTTGCAATCCAGACATAGCCAGTGCCCATCATCTGAAGAGTGTTTGCAACAGAGAAAACTGTTAAACCAGAATCAGGATTTACATGTACAACATAAACTCGAGATTCCATCATAATTACTGTAACTAATAAGTCATGAATCACATTTCTTGAGGCCCCTGGAGGGAAGGCAGCTTTATATGAGATCTTGGAACGTTTCTTAGCCAGAGCATCATCCAATGCAGATATCCCATTTCTCCCATAATCATTATCCACAAAGATTGCAATTACCTCCCTCCATCCATTAAAGTCGATAAAATCAACTATTGCCTGCATCTGGAACAAGTCACTATGTGTCGTGCGGAGGAAATAAGGATACTGTAATGCAGAGAGAGTAGGATCTGTTGCCGCAAATGACAGAAGTGGCACATGAAGTTCATTAGCAACATGAGTAATCACATGAGCTACAACAGAAGATTGTGGACCAATTATTGCAACCATATCTTTCTCCAAGAGCTGCAAAGCTGCAATAGTAGGGGGAGTCTCCGGTCAAAAAATTGGCATCACTGATTAGAAGAAAGGAGAGGAGGGAGATGATGATAAAGATGATGATGATGATGATGATGATGATGATGATGATGAATGTCATAGATGCAGAAGAAAATCTAGATGGTTCAGAAATTATTCTGATTCCATTTCTTACCAAATTTGTCTTGTTTTATGTTCATTCTTGTCAAGTCCTTGTTTTTTGGAAGGGTGAATTTCAGAATGCAGATTCTTTTGATATCTTCAAGTGGGGTTATAAAGATCCTTGTGATTCAGAACCACCTTGGAATATTGATAGAAGTCGGGAAAACCCTCTTCCCATTTTCATGATTCATCATTCATGAAGCTCCTTAACCTTCAAATATTTGTCTATTGCATCAGTTAAGATGCACACCAACTCAGCTAACTTAATTTCTAAACTGTTATTTAGTTTCCAATTTTGGTTGGTAAAGTAGTATAATAGTATTAAACATGCCACTCGAGAATTTCAACCGTTTCACAATCCAAGCAATAATAATATCTTTAAGTAGTCCCTCTACAGAAGCCCAAACGACAATAGCAAATAGCAGAGTCACAAGGAAAATAAAATGGAGACTGCAAATATGGTGCAGTAAACTAAATAGTGTCTGAACACCAGACCACCGCAAGGCAATTGAAACACAGACTTGAATTCTATAAAGAACACGATGTCTAAGTGATTAGTACTAGACAATACCTTCTATAGTACCAAGAAATCCACTGCAATTTGTGTCCTGCATGGAAACACGCAGCTTTGTCCGCCCAAGAATGGTAGGATCGGAATTAACATCATCAACAGCAGCTGAAATTGCTGGCATTGACACTTTACCAATGATGGAGTCGACGGTAAGCAGAGTTCCTATGTTCACAACACTTGGCACTGTGGAAGTAGTGGACCTTTGAGTCCTGCCCCTGACTTCCAGAGTCAACAAACAACAGAGGAACAGCTGAAGCAGTCTCGTTTCAAATACCCGACGGGACTCAAAAATCTGATGGAGCTCCATGGGAGACCTATTTCGATTGGATTTGTTCTTCGAGTTACAAGAACATGGTCTTGAAACTTTCAGCTCAGTACCTGCATACATGAGAAACAAAAAGAAAATAAAGATGCAGAACATAACAACAGCAAACCAGCAGCAGGAAAGAACAAAAGAAAAGCTTTTCAGCTTGGGGAAGATGCTCAATGTATATAAACAGTTGACTTGAAAGCTTCTTCGAGTTTCAGATACCCATGTATTATCTCCAAAAATAACATACAAAAGACTCAAATGCAGTAACCAACTGTACTGAAAAATCTCACATAATAAAACAATAAAAAGACTGCTAATAAAAGGTACCGGARACAGTTGGGGAAGAGCTTAGCTGCAGACAACAGTTTCCATTAGAATGAGCCTCACTGCCAATTCGACGTCAGAGCAGCTACAATCCACTATATATACGTCTGCTCAAGTAAGAAGCCCACCATCATCTTCAAGCACAAAATAAGAGGAGAAAATAACAGAATCCCAAACAGTCCTCTATAGAAGTAAAGAATCAGTTCTTTTCTACTTTTTCTGATTCTCCAACCAACAAAGAGCAACCATCACAGTAATTAACTTTGTTAAAGACTCACCCCCCAACATGGGTAAAGCAGATATTTGCTCAAACTTTAACTAAATTTGCTGTGGGACATGGGTTCCGATTAATCCACATCAAACCCAATACCTCAACAATGAAGCAACACGTGATTGTATGTCTTCATCAATAATCTTCAGATTGAGGTAAAGATGGTGTGTCTCCCAGTCCCATCATGTCAAACATGTCCTCGAGATTTTCAGAGAGAGGTGACGGCATGACATGCACGATTAGCATCTGTAGACAGATATAGAAAAGGTTGAGAATATTGATATCGGAGAAGTACGGATGCACCCGATGCAGAATTTTGAATTCCAGCCCCTCCTACTACTAGCCCTTTCCCCTCTAACCCACATTCTGCCCGTAAATTTAACATCAATTTACGGTCAGGATGCATTTCCTGAGACTATATAATTCTGATCTGGGCTGATTGGTCATTCTCCCTATTGATATAAGAGTTATAAGAGTGCCAGACAGATCGGAACTTTGATGCGTTTTACCAACAAAGACTAGATGTGTCGCCTAGCAGAAAACGGAAGGGTTTCCAAATTCCAGTTTTGAAAACGATGGGGGCTTGTAACAACAGTCCAAAAGACGCCGTGCCTTAAACAGCATCAATGGACGCCCGTTGCGTTTAAGCATAATCAACATTGCAAGGCACCGCCATTAATCTTCTTTTGCTGGGTTGGTGGGTCTCTCTTACTCTACTTCTTTTGTGGTTTCTGTGAATGTTTGTCCAGTATTTTGGAAGCTGAGATGGAGGCGATATTGAAGGCTATTGTTTTTGCCAAAATTCTTGTTTTGATTCTATTTGACTGTTTGTTTATTTTGGGAACAATCCATTAGGAATAGCATACAAACAAAGGCACCAACAGAAAAAACACAGAAAACCAACGGCACAGCAATAGGAAAATTAAACTGCTAAACAGAAGTACTACTATTGGTCTGAAATGAATTCTATTAGTTTTGTTCATACAGTAGCCCAAAGGCTTAAAACATCTTAACGACTGTAATGCTTTGGTTATCAATAGGACCAAGACCAACCAAAAGTGGATCCTATAAAAGTTAGGGTCTACAGACAATTAGAATCAAGACTTTTTCTGGCTTCTTCTGGACTGATTTTTACTGATAAAGATAAAGGTTGGGCTCCATGGTTATAGCAACATAATAATGGATTTATGGCCCCAGAGGACTAGCCACTTGTAAATCAAAACACCTTCTAGACTGTTTATTTGTTTTTCCAGACACTTTCCCTGGATTGTGTAGATCTAGGCGGTTTGACCCACAACTGATCACTAGTAAGAGTAAAATCCGTATTAGGGGTGTAAATGGTATTTGAAAATTCGATTTCGAATGTGATATTCAACATAATCGAATTGAATTCGGATAATTCGAATATTTAATCGATCAAATTCAGATATTTTATTCATACCGAATAATTAATCGAATTCGAATTCGGATATGATCTGATTCGATTCGATAAATATCCGAATTCGATCGGTTATTTAATTTTTTATATAATAATTAAGTTATATAAATAATTTACATATTTATATACTTTATATCAATAAATATTTATTAATTATTTAAAATAATTAATTAATCAAATTCGAATTGAATCAAATCAAATGTTGAAATATTTAATCAGATTCGAATTCAAATATAAATTTTCAATATCCGTTGAATATTAAATCAAAATCGGATATCAGATTTTCTAGTCGGATTCGAATTAGATATTACCTATTCGATTCGGATTCGATCCGTTTACACCCCAACCATCAACGGCCAGGTTATGGCAGGTCACACACAAAGGCAGAAGCATCGAAACTCAAAAGCAAGGAACCACACTGCTTCAGCCTCGTGGTTCACTTTCAATATCGTCCCTAAAGTTACGCAAGAAGATATTCCCCAAGGCTTCTATGTCCATTCCCAATATGCCTCACTCAACAGTGACATCTCCAACCCCTTGATCCCATACTTCCCCAGTTGTTTCAGTTGTTTCTTTGTCGTGATCCGCTTCATTTTGTGCATCCGATCCATATTCAGTTTATGAGTCCGACCGAAGAATTATGCACTTGGGAGTTTTTTCTTTGTATACCAGTCTTTGGGGTTTAAGGGTTTTTTTTTAATGCACAATTATGTACTCTTCACCCTTGTTTATTTTATGGTGAATTTATGCTTTTTCCCATGTACATATACATAGGCTATAAGTAGAATCATGTAAATGTGTATTCTCTTAATAGTTGGTATCCTCTTTCCTCTATCCTGATTTCTGATGTTAGGTGGGTTTCACTTACAGAACATGGTGGGTGGGTAATGGGTGTTGTTAGGGTTGAAAGCAACTGGTATTGAGTTAATAATGGAACTGAAATATGGTTTAATCTTATTGCCTCCCATGAGATCACCCCTTTCCAGTCCTAATAGCAATCTACACAAACCTAAGGCATGTAGTAATGTGGTACAACACTTTGGGCCAAGTGCAAAATGGAGAGAGAATGACTGGGATAATCACGATGCGTTACATGTCATTATCAGTCTAATATGTAGGACCCATTTTAACAAGGTTGGCCTGGTTTATCTCGATTGACCCACAATTACAAGTGGAATTACTCTAGATGATTAAGAACTCAAAGCTAGTTTAGACAGTTGGGAGAATGCCAAAATGGGTATGGTTCCTTTTTTGTTGGAGGGAACCAAAGCCAATCCAGGGTGGACTGTGGAGTGAGATCCTCAGTTTGCTAAAGTTACATGAGAGAGAGGGAGAGAGGAGTGTTGGCCAAAATTTAAAGAGTCTTTCTTTGGTTGGCACTTGTAGTGAAAAATAAACTCCCACCCAGGAAATTGGTAGAAGGGTAGGGGCCTGAACAGTCTGTAACTGATCAGACATTTACTGTAACTTGAGTACATGCTTCCTCATGTGGATTCAAATGTAACCAAAGAACCTCTTGGGAAAAAATAAAATATTATTTATCATTTCCATTTAGTAAATGGCAGTTGTTGAGAGTGAATCTTGTACTGGAGACAATAATAGTGACCATAAAATATTATCAAATTGTGTAAAATGCAAAGAATGAGGACATGTTGGCAATAAACTGAGCTATAATCAAAGATTATATGTATTAGCTAGCACATTGTAAGTACATGAACCCTCTTGGGCAGATGGATCACATGTGTCTGTGGGTTCTTATCCCTCATTTAGTTTCTTTCTTTGGGCTAACTACAAGCCTAATGATGTTTATTCTTGTGGGTCACCATGAGACTATGAGTGTGCCGAAGAGTCTTGTTAGTTTTCTCCTTCACTGGTCCTCTGACCCTATTCTTTCACAGTGGTGATGGGGACTATATCATGCAACTACGGCCAGTTGTATTCTTATGACTTGTCACTTTGTCAGTATGCTTACGGTGGTGCTTTTTTTTTTTTTTTGATAAGAAAGATTTCCATTAAACCAGAAAACAAACATTACATCAACAAAGAAAACACAACAAACAAAGAAAACACAACAAACAAAGAAAAACACAAATCCACACCCAACAAACTTAACTAAGGCTACCACCAAGGTCCAATCTAATAAAATCTGACAGCACCAACGGGACAGCATTAAAAGCTATAAAACTATTCTTCAACCCCTGCTTTGCTGCCGAATGTGCTACAGAGTTAACAGTCCTGGAACACCAGTGGAAAGAAACACCACTGGAAGTTCTGTTTTGTGTGCTAGGAGTTTGTGATTTTTGTGGGCATTGGAATCAGTGGTTGGATGAACTCTTCAGCACCAGGAGGACCCTAATGACTTGATGACCAATTGCCAAACTTCATATGGCATGCCAACCTTGATCAATTCACTGGAAAACAAACTACTATTGGGGGCAATAGCCCCATATGCTACTTCTGTTTTTACTGGCTTACAAGTCATCAGAACTCGTAGTGAAGCGACCAAAGGTCCCAGGGATTAGACAATTTGTTTTTTATTTATCAAATGACAGCTTGGTGAATGTTTGGAGAACCTTATTCCCTTTACTACTAAATAGCTTGTCTTTTCCATTAATCACAACACCATAGCTGGAGCCTGGAGGAGGTGCTCTGACCCTTTTGAGTAATTACAAACCAAGTCCACCTCAAATGGCCCAAACCCGCAATCAACCATACAATAAGAAAGTCCACAAGGTAAGGAAATGAAATGAAATCACCGAAATATTACACTAGCAGCAGCATCCTACTTATCACACTTGTAACACTACAGAAATGAGTAATTACATGCTTCACATCTGGATTTAGAGTTGCAGATAACCCAGAAAAGTATCACTTATGAGTTTTACACAGAAATGTCCCACCAATGCCAAATTATCAAACCATATGATACCTTTTGTACCTTAAATCTAACAGCTGTATACTATACATGAGCATTTACAAGTTTGCTTGTAATAGCAAGTCCCAATGAAGCATTGATCTTTTTCAAGGCCGGTTTGTCCTAGGTTCAGTGAATGGACCAATCTCATCAATTCCCTTGATATATCTTCAGTGTTAATCAGCTTGCCTGAGGCTGAGGATTGTCACACTGCTTGAACATTTTTTTTGTAGCTTCCTCCTTCTCATCTATAAAATCAAAGAAATTATAAATGATCTGAGAACAATGAGCACTTGAAGACTCAGAAGATGAGGCAGAAGAAAGGTCCCTCTGTTTCCGTTTGTATTGAACAAATTGACGAACCATCCGAGCAAGAAACACAAGCAATGCAATGATTGTAACGATCCCACATAAAAGAAAAAGACCCCAGAAGCTGATCATATGCAGTTGGTTAGACTTGGATTGGTGTCCTTGTCCTTCAGTGCAACCCATCTGACAAAACCACTTCTTATGGATCTTGTGGAGTTCACCATTCTCAGAAAGCCTCAGAATAGCTGTAGACATGTCAATGGCAAGAGGAGAGTCTCTTGGGAAAGCCTGAAATAATGTGTTGGAAGAGATTAAATAAGAAATTTCTGAAGAAGAACAGTTAATACGGTACATAATGGATCAAGCTGTAACTGGGTAAAAGAGCAGCCCAGTGCACAAGGCTCCTGCCAATGCGGGGTCTGCAGAGGGACCCTGCATTGACTTATAATTTTGATCATTCAGTTACAATCAGACCTTATTCAGATCAAAGTTGACATGTGTTATGGTCACACCATCCGGCAGGGCACCGCGGCGCAGTCATAGGCAGCAGCCCGCACAACAGGCCGCACAACAGTGGGCACCGCCTGGCAGCACTGCAGCATGCACCGCCCATGGCGC